TCGTGGACTACAGCATATGCATATGCATCCGAAGAAGTGGGCTGTAGTCCACGAAAGCTTATGCTCTAATAAATTTGTTAGTCTCTAAGGTGCCACAAGTACTCCTGTTCTTCTTTTTGCTATTTTTTAGTCATTTTAAACAACCTAGTTATTTACTTTGAAAAACTAGCTACAGTACTGAGCATGCAGATGTGTCATGGATTATGTTAGGCCATTGCAAGGTGTGGCCCTGGAAAACAAGGTAGACAAAGCTAGAACTCAAACAGCGTGGAAATCTGGCTTTTTTTGTTGTGTGTGTGTGGTTTTTTTTTTTGGTCTGTAGTTGTTTACTTAAACAAATGTCTCCTGTTTCTATGTGGTATGATAGCATCGTCTACCTGTGTCCAATTCCACCTTCACAGTCAACTCCAAATGGTCTCATTTTAAAAGTTCATTTTTTAAATATAAAAGCTAATCCATAACAGCTGATGAAGGCTATGTTAAAAAAAATTAATGATACATATGCGACAATCACTCACACTTTATGCAATTTCAAATTTACAATGATTCTCTTTAGGCAAATTGCTTGAACTTTGTGATCCTTCAAAAAACAGGATTTCTGAAAGGTCTTGCCAACTTCCTACCTGTGGAGGAGATGCGATTAATGGCCCCCCAGGAATTCAGGATGCTCTCTGAGCAGCACTGCCCGCTCTTTTTGAAATCATTTGTCACTATACTGTAGAAAGTGCCACAGGGTACCAAATCCTCAAACTGCCAGATTGGGGCAGAGGCTGCAAGAGCTCTGTAGATGGAGACAGAAAGACAAGATTGTTTGGTGAAACATGTGCATCTAGCACCTCTAAAAACCATGAATCTCTGTCCTCATGGCAACACTTTCCTCACAGCTGCTGTCTTCTCATTAAAAAGCTTCTAAAAATAGGTGCTTATAATTCATCTGTGACATTCTTGACTGAGAATTACATGAACAATACGTACATTTGCAAAAATATTCCACAAGATGGAGTGCAAAGCAAGTGGAAGTTTTAGCCATGTCAGATTATCTTTGGAAAATCATGGGAGACCGGAGAGATTCCAGAAGACTAATATAATGCCTATCTATAAAAAGGGAAATAAAAACAACCCAGGAAACTACAAATCAGTTAGTTTAACTTCTGTGCCAGGGAAGATAATGGAGCAAGTAATTAAAGAAATCATCTGCAAACACTGGGAAGGTGGTTGCAACTGCTTTGGAAGATAGGGTCATAATTCAAAATGATCTGGACATATTGGAGAAATGATCTGAGGTAAACAGGATGAAGTTTAACAAAGACAAATGCAAAGTGCTCCACTTAGGAAGGAACAATCAGAATCACACATACAGAATGGGAAGAGACTGTCTAGGAAGGAGTACGGCAGAAAGGGATCTAGGGGTTATAGTGGACCACAAGCTAAATATGAGTCAGTGTGATGCTGTTGCAAAAAAAGCAAACATGATTCTGGGATGCATTAACAGATGTGTTGTGAGCAAGACACGAGAAGTCATTCTTCCGCTCTACTCTGCACTGGTTAGGCCTCAATCGGAGTATTGTGTCCAGTTCTGGGAACCGCATTTCAAGAAAGATGTGGAGAAACTGGATAGGGTCCAGAGAAGAGCAACAAGAATGATTAAAGGTCTAGAGAACAAGACCTATGAAGGAAAGCTGAAAGAATTGGGTTTGTTTAGTTTGGAAAAGAGAAGGCGGAGAGGGGACATGATAGCAGTTTTCAGGTCTCTAAAAGGGTGTCATAAGGAGGAGGGAGAAAACTTGTTCATCTTAGCCTCGAAGGATAGAACAAGAAGCAATGGGCTTAAACTGCAGCAAGGGAGGTCTAGGTTGGACATTAGGAAAAAGTTCTTAACTGTCAGGGTGGTTAAACACTGGAATAAATTGCCTAGGGAGGTTGTGGAATCTCCATCTCTGGAAATATTTAAGAGTGGGTTAGATAAATGTCTATCAGGGATGGTCTAGACAGTATTTGGTCCTGCCATGAGGGCAGGGGACTGGACTCGATGACCTCTCGAGGTCCCTTCCAGTCCTAGAATCTAGGAATAAGATGCTAGTTCAAACATTTTTAAAAATTTTGCAGGCTCTTAGTCCACGTTTGTGTTTATTTGTACAGTAGTGTCTAGAGACCCCAACTGAGATCAGGCCCAGTATACTAGGCACTTATATATATACACACACATACATACACACACACACACACACACACACACACACACACACACACAACTAAGACGACAGTCTG